TACTTCCGATTAACCTAGGAAACTGCTTTATCGATGCATCGATATGAATTTAAATAATATTAGGTTTATTTTTCAAATAATTGATTGAAGTGTTTGATATTGTTCCCTCATTCGTCGGATTTATATATACTTTATTTTTATCAGAAATTGGAATTAAATGTGTCTTTTCCGTTTTTTAAAACCCATGAAAAACACTTCAAGTAATTTATCTGTACATTTTAGTACGCTTTCCGTTTGTATTACTGTGGATTTACATTTAAATATACAAGCTATATGTTCTCATTTTAATCTTGGAGTTCGGTATTTTTGTTATACTTTTTTTTAAATTTTGTTCAATTTGATGCTAATAATGCTTTGTAAGGTTTTTTGTGATGAAATTATCCAGCAAAATATTTTTGTACAATATATAATATGCATGTATTTATAAACTCGTTTAATTTTCAGTAGAAAATTTTAGTTTATGTAATGACATTATTTATTTGGGTGTGAACGTAGAGAACATTTTTATGCAAAAAACAATTTGATATTTTTCATTTGTTGCAATCTTACTCAGTTGACTGAACAATTTGTTAGCTTATAAATGCATATTGGTTAATGTATATAAAAATGACAATGATGATCGGTTGAGAACAAAATATTATGACAAAAGAGATGATTTGAGCTTCCTAATTTTGAACTTTCTACTCCTATGTAGCAACATTCCATCAACGCCTACACATGGAGTATATTATCTCCCATTTAATACGATATTCCAGGGCTTGAGTTTTCTATCATGATTTCCTTGATTTAGGGCTGCTGCTCATAATGAAACTATTAAACCAAGAGTTCCAAGTGGTGAAGTCGAATTCATCCCTTCGAAAATTTTATGAACGCCATCCCGAGTTGGTAGACCGTAATGGAATATCAGTTTCACAGATGATGACGAATATATTCCAATCGTCGTAACCACAATCCCATTCTCATTTTCCCCGAATGTGACCAACCGAGTGAGACTTATCACTGGGTTGTTACTAATATGAGCACGATGACTGGTGCCACATGTGGAGCAGGATCTGTTCATCCTTCCGGATCCCCTAAGATGACCCCCAGTTTTAAGTGGGGTTCGTGTTGCTCAGTCTTTAGTTTTCTATGTTGTGTTTCGTATACTATTGTTTGTCTTTTGGTCTTTTTCTTTTCTTTTTTTTTTTTGACATGGCGATGTCAGTTTATTTTCGACTTATGAGTTTGAATCTCCCTTTATTATATTTCGCCTCTCTTTTAAGTAAAAACCGAATAAAATCAGTAACTACACATTCTACGGCTACATTAGATTTAGGCTACAGTAATTTACCGCTGTTCAGGTCTTATACATCGATTAAGAAGATACAACTCAAGGTAAAAAACAAATACTGAGGGAATCGTATAAAATCTTGACACAAAACCTGCACCAGCAGGGTCATGAAGATGAACGACTAAAATTCACACTATATAAGTTTTAAGGTCACCAGCACGTATGAATTGGTTGACCGTTATCACGAGTCTGTATCAACTCACTGGCGACTTGTTTTCGGGGTCTTATATTTTTCAATACTAGTATAGTTGTTTGATCTGAAATTTTACCGATTGTGTCCTATTTACGATAGTAATATTTTGACTGAGCGTGAATTCACATGGCGGCAGATGCGTGGATAGCAGGGGACGCTAACCCTGTCGATGTACTCGGTCTCTCTCCTTTTCGAGTTCCTGAAGTTCTCAAGTTTTTTTTTTTACATTAATTTGTCTTTTCTTAATCGACTTGAGAGATTTGAACATCGGTAAACTACTGCCGTCTGAATCAAAAGCCAAGCTGAGTCAGCTGAACAGCCCGCACACCATGTCTATGAAAACTAGTAGAAGCATCAGACGATGTTTTCATAATTAACTATTTGTGTACTGCGTTCAATGTTTTCTCCAATTATATACAAGTATTTGGTCCACCCACAACTAGTCTGGAAGCATCTTATCATAGAAAGTCATCTGACAGTCCGAACAGCTGTAATAATCGAGACGTGCTTGACGAATTACTCTGAGAAGTATTCAATCTTTCTATTTGGATTTTAAGATCGATCACAGAGTCACATTTAAGTCGGAGTTCAAATGTAATTTCATTTTTTTTTAATTGTCATTTACTTTATTATATGTAAAAAAGGTTACATACTTATCCTAGTAATGGACCTATGGTAATATAAATAATATTGTTAAAAGTATACACTTCCGAAGAGCATCAAATGAAGAGACATTTATTGTCGAAATTCGCATCTGTTGTAGAAAGTTTGGTACCGTTAATGCTATTCTGAATTATTCAAATCTGTCCAGGACTGTAATCTGATTGCTGGAATCTAAAATGATGACATTATCAGCAGCATGTAGTTTGGTAGAAACGGTATTTGACAATACTGCATTGACTTCATTATACAGAATGTTTAGGAATTTTATTGCACAAGTGAACCGTTTGCAACAAGATCATGAAGATTATAAAATAATTCTCATTTTTGTTAAAATAAGATTTAATTCCCCATCAATCAATTCACGAATTATTAAATAAGTAAGGTTTCAACTCCCTCAGATAAAAATACCGAACTCCAATGTAAATTCAAAAAGGGGGAAGTCCATAAAAACTGACAAAATCAAATCTTATCAACAAACGGAACGAGTGGAAAACAACTGTCATTATCGTGACTTGGTAAAGACATTTATAAAAGAAAATGGTGGGTTAAACCTGTTTTTATAGCTAGCTAAACCTCCCACTTATATGACAGTTGTTTATATTTCCATTGTATTGACAAAACTCGGTGATCAACCAAAACAAACATAATAGGTTAATTTGACAATAATAGGAAACTTGCAGCCAAAACTGTGCAAACATATATCACAGACATAGAAAACAACACATGAAATAAAGTTGACCTTACATGACTTGCTATTCTTTTAAGGTCCATTTAAATTTAAAGTTAACGTTACTCCGTATTTATACATAACTGGCTTCCAGATGTTTAGGTTCCAGAAAGACGACTCAGACGCACACAAAATATAATGTGTATTGAAATTTATAATATTTTAACTGTTTTTTTGTGATGAAATTATTCTGCAACACATTTTTGTACAATATTTAATATGCATGCATTTCTAAACTCGTTTAATTTTCACTAGAACATTTTAGTCTATGTAATGACATTATTTAATTGGATGTGAATATAGAGAACATTTTTATGCAAAAAAAGATTTGATATTTTTTTCATTTGTTGCAAATTTACTCAATTTACTGAAAAACTTTTATTAATGCAAATTGGTTAATGTATATAAAACAGACATAGAAAACAGCACAACAGATAAAGTAGACCTTATGCATTCCTTGGGGAACGAACTTTGCGTCTCTCCTCGCCGACCTCTTCTTATTTTCATATGAGTCGGAGTTCCTTCAGACACTAGTCAAAAACAAGAAGATCAAAGAAGCCAAATAATTTAATTTCACATTCAGATATATTGATGATGTTCTTTCCATTAACAATCCAAACTTTTCTGATTGGGTTCCATTAATATATCCCCCAGAACTAGAATTAAAGAAACAACATACATGGCTTCCTCTGCCTCATTTTTAGACTTACACCTCGAATTTGACATAAGCGGTCATCTCAGTACCAGAATCTATGACAAATGGGACGATTTTAATTTTGAAATTATCATTTTCCCCACCTTAGTAGCAATATATCGACTTCATTTGCATATGGAATATACATTTCCAAACTCATTCGGTATTCAAGAGCTTGCAGCTGCTACTCAGACTTTATAAAACGTCAACAGTGGCTGAGCAGAAAGTTGATGAACAGTGTTATGTCAAAGAACGTCTCGTCCTTTTACTAAAAATATTCATCGGAAGATAGCAAGACCTTGATTACAAATATACCGTATCAGCTTCACAAGTAATATATGATGGTCTTGAAGTATAGATTCTAGGTACTGACGTTGTTTATCATCTTAATTACGGGTTATAGTGTTCTTTTATTTAACTTTGTAAATTATTAACCTTTACTGTTTTGTTAATTTTGGGTAATATCCTTTTGGCGTGACTCGAAATTTATGCATCCCAACTTTGTGTTGTTGTGTTGTGGTAATTTCTTGTAATCTTGTCTTTCCTTTTTTGCTTATTTGTTTTGTCTATATGCCATTTAGTTTTTCTTTGTTGACATATATGTTGGTTTTTATAGTGATTAAGATTATAACACAATGTTGACTGATGTACCCCTATTTATGACATTTTTACCTATTATGTCTGTTTGTTTTGTTCACACATTGTTGTCAATATGATGGAATTTTATGCCAATTTCATACAAGTGAGAGGTTTAGCTAGCTATAGAACCAGGTTCAATACACCATTTTCTACATAAGGATATGCCTGTACCAAGTCAGGAATATGACAGTTGTTTTCCATTCGTTTGATGTGTTCGGTATATTTTTGTTATTTTACTTTTTACATGACTTGCTATTCTTTTAGGTCCATTTAAAGATAAATCTAACGTGACTCCGTATGCATACATGATTGACTTTCAGATGTTTAGGTTTGAGCGTTCCAGAAAGACGACTCAGACGCACAAAAATTAAAATGTGTATTGTAATTTATAATATTTTAACTGTTGATAAAACATTGTTTTTGTTTCTTTCATATGCCTACCTGGGTCGTGACCTAAACATATAAGACATGGACTTTAAACAAATTATTTTAGTTTGAAAATTTTCAATAAATCAATAGATAAATATCTCTGTCTTAAGGTAAATGTGATTGATGTTAACATTCCACAACAAAATAGAACGTATCATGACTGAGAAAAGGTAATTCAAATGAGTTAAACAAAATAATTCAAATAATTCAAATGATTTAAACAAAATGAAGCAATACTTGTCTGTAAATTTTGTGATGCTATATACATGATATAATAGATGAACCTAACATGCACAAGAATTAATCTTATTATCAGGTTAAATGATATCTTTTATCATAAAGGCGTACGAATATTGTTTATTACTAAAAGCCCATGTTCTGGATATTAGTAAGATCGGTGTGAAAGTAGCGATAAATTTTCAAAGGTAAGAATGTTTAAGATTAACATCTGAGGAAAAACTACGAAAAAAAAACCGATAATGTTGTGATAAATATAATAAAAAGTTATCTGATGTAAATAAGGCAGTCATTACCTACATATTGAGGTGCACAATATTTTACTTTTTACATAACCCCACTAGGAAACAACGAAATAATGTTGATTCAGCGAATGCCGAAATAGAACCAATGTGTCAATTTATTCCTGATTTTTTTCGTTTACTTAAAAACATTTAAAACGTACTCAAATAAATTGTTTTTACTCAACAGTAAAAGAATGAACATTAATTAGACAAGTAAATCAACCCCAACCATGTCAGAAAAATTTGTCAGCTGTCTCCGATATTTAATATTCTAAAACAAAAGAAAGAATCAAATTTTTTTTTTTCAGATTTTTTTTCTAAATAAGTCGTTGAAGTAGGCAACGGTCGTCTAAAAGCAAATGATAAACTTTAACAATTGATTTAATTATTGATAAATGGTTGGTTGACATGTACTTGATTTGACTTTTTAATTTTGATTAGAGCCTTATGGATGAGTTTTCTTTTTTGTAAAAGAAACGCGCGTCTGGCGTACAAATTATCAGCCTGGTTTCTTTGATGATTTTTTAGTATAATTATTTAAATAACAGAAGCATTTACCATGTATTGATTGTAACATAATTGATGCTTGTTCATCCCGATATTTAATGTGTATCAGAGTTTTATTAATATATTTTTAATGTCGAATAGTGGCATTAATAAAATTTACAAGTTTAGTGAGCTACCTGTAATTATCAGCAATGATTTAAAAATAAAACATGGAAATCTTTGACGTATTAATAATTATAATCAATATTTGTTACCATAGCTAGTTATTTATATTCCAACTTTATTTTTAGGCCACTCTTTTTTTTATCATACACATATCTGCATGTTGGATCATATTTCTGACCGCATTACTGTTTTAACATATTACAATGTAACAATAAGTTTGTCTTCCCGACATATTTGTGCTTACATTGTTAAGTCATATAAGTAATTTTTAAAGGTGTTTAATATGTCCATTACATATATTCGTACTTTAGTTAAATTATGTATTTGAATTGCAAAGTTCTGATTTTAAATGACAACTTACAAGAGGAAATTTATAAAATACACACTCGGCATATTAAAAAAATGTTTCTTCTCAGTCGCTGATATTATTTATTGTTTGAATGTATGTTTATGAGGCGGCTTAGGAGTCTGCTCTATTGAAGCAACCATCTGAATTCAAACGTATTATGTTTTTTTTTATTTCAAATGATTGATTCAGATGTATGTTATTGTTCTCTCATTCATCACATTTCTATGTACTTAATTTGATCAGATAATGGATATAAAGTGTCTCTTTTCCGTTTTTGGAAACCTACGAAAACAATTAAAAGTAATTTATCTGTACATTTTAGTACACTTTTCGTTTATTAGTTCTTTGTGAAACGGGTTCCAAGTCTGGCACAGCAGGTTGCTGTTCAAATGTACCAGCTATATCTTGTAGTTTTAATTTTGTTCAATCTGACCCTAATTTTCCTTGTAAGGTTTATTTTGTGATGAAATTATTCAGCAACATATTTTGTAAAATATTGAATATGCATGCATTTCTAAACGCGTTTAATTTTTACTAGAAAAATATGATTGTATGTAATGCGTTATTTATCTGGAGGTAAAATTAGAGTACATTTTTATGAAAAAAAAAATAGATTTTCTTTATTGTTTGTAATCTTACTCAATTTACTCAACACTTTTAATAGCCAATTAATGCCTATTTGTCAATTAAAGTAAAGAGCCAAATAAAATCTACACATTATAGGGTTATATCAAACCAAGACTACAGTAATTTGCCGCTGTTCAGATCTTATAAATCGATTAAGAAGATACAAATCAAGGTAACAAACAAAATACTAGTACTTAGGTTATCGCATAAACTGCTTACACAAAACTGCACCAACTTGGTTGTGAGGAAGACCGACTAAAATCCACACAACATAAATTTAACGGTCACCATCACGTACGAATTGGTTGACTGATACAACGAGTCAGTATCACAACTCACTAGCAAAATGTTTTCGCGGATTTAGATCTTCAGATACCTGTAAAGTCGTCCGATCAGATATTTTACCGACTGTGTCCTATTGCCGATTGTCACATTTTTACTGAGTGTAAGTTCGCATGGCGGGAGATGTATGCATAGCAGAAGACGTTCAAACCTATGATTGCTTTGGATAGAAACCGCAATTTTTATACGTGTGCATGCAAAACAAATTTCCTGGTAGAGGGGTCTAAATACAGCACAAACAACATTTTCCTAATGACCAAAAAAGTGAAAAAGTATATTTTAACAAAACGCATTTGACTAGCAGGTCGAACAACGGATGTTCTTGGCGATTGCAAATAAACGTACCACCAGATGTAACAAGATGGATCTTAACTATTAATCTAATACCAAACAGAAAGCAATAAACTTGCGGAAAAGATGTCTATATATATATATATACTAGGCAAAAAAAGAAACGTTTCATGTTTTATCTTTTATAACAAAAATTGATAACAATAAGTTAATAGAATAGTTAGTTTACATCATTTTGAAGAGAACAACAACAAGTTTTCTCTATTTGAAACAATATTGCACATTTTCGGACAGTTTTAACAGGACGAATTCAAAATTCAAGTTAACATGTCAATACCGTGTATGACCACCTCTTGCATTTATGACCGCCTGACACCTCCGTTGCATTGAATCAATTAGACGCTGAATAAAGTCTTGAGGGATGTTGTTCCATTCACTGAAAAGTTGTTCGAAGCTGGGCGAGCGTTTCCGGTGGATTTTGGCTATTTCTGAAACGTCGTCCAAGTTCGTCCCAAAGAAGTTCGATTAGCGATAAATATAGAGAAATTGCTGGCCATGGCAACTCACGAATGTGACTATTCTCAAAAAAAAGATCATCGAAATGTGTGCCATATGACAACGGGCGTTGTCCTGCTGAAAAACATGGTTAAAGCGATGACTTCGGAGAAACGGGAGAACAATTGGAGCCAGAAGTTCGTCCCTATACCTTGTTGCATTAAGGTTATCATCAATGATTTTGAGCTCGGTGCGTTCCTGGTAGGTTATTCCGCCCCATACCATAATTCTGCCACCACCAAACCGATCTGTTTCCTGTACGCACGCATCAGAAAATCGTTCTTTGCGCCTCCAGTAGACCCAGGCTTTGCTGTCGCTAAATTTCAAGTTGAATTTCGATTAATGGGTAAAAAGAACCTGTCTCCATTTTAGCCTATTCCATCGAATCCGTACCCGAGTATATTGAAGTCGCACCACCCTGTGATGATGCGTAAGGATAGGTCCCTTCAACGGACGACTTGCTCTTAGACAAACTTGACGCAATCGGTTACGAATTGTTTGGGCAGATTTTCTGTTGTTATTTCTTCCGTGGGTTTGTCGTGCTGTTTGTGACGAGTTTACAAACCGATTACTGAAATGAATAATGCGGATGTGCCTGATTTGACGTAACGTCGTTTCACGTGGCTTGCAACTACGGGGATGATCATTTGTCCTGACAGTATCTCTTAGACGAGTCTTAAGCCTTGCAATAGTCATTCTAGAGACATTAAAATGATTTGCAACCTGCATTTGTGTCATTCCTACTGTACTGCCAACATCCCAATAGCTCGTTCTCTCTCATTTTGGCGTAGACGGGGCATGGACTTACTTGCAACTTTTTCAATTTTTTTAATGCGATTTTTTGTTTACAAATAGTGTTCGACACAATTTAAAAACCAATGTAATGTTTCATATTTTGCCTAGTATATCTTTAAAAAACGTTTTTTTTTTCATAAAATAAGAAATGCAATCAAATAATCAGCATTGAAATTTTAATGATGATTAAATGTTACAATGATCATGATGATGTTTGGAATTTGAACTTGTACAAATGTTTTCACTGTTAAAAGTTTCATTCTAGCATGTTTTCATTGTTATTCTTTTATCTTATATAATCATGATAATATAGCTCTTACATTTATTTCGACAATGTAATTGTAATTAATTGAAAAGTAATTAATAACATTGGCAATGTAATTGTAATGTAATTTATTACATTTGAAATTCATTGTGATTTTGATGTAATTAATTACATTAAAAAATCAATGTAATTGAAATGTAATTAATTACCTTGGCATGTAATTGATCCCAGGTCTACTACCATGAGATGCTCTCTGACTAGTTATTGGTAGACCAAGCAAACATTGAACGCGGTATACAAATAATTCTTAATGATGAAAACAACGTCTGTTGATTTTACCAGAGTTCATACACATGGTACGCGGGAGGTTCAGCTGACCACGCTTTGGTTTTATTAAGGCGACAGTAGTTCACCGATGTTCTCTCAAATCGATTAAGAAAAGACAAATTAATGTAACAAACAAAAACTTAAAAATTTTCAGGAACTCCAAAAGGTGAGAGACAAAGTGCACCGAAAGGGAAAGCGTCTCCTGCTGTGCATGAATCTCCGCCATGCGGATTTACACTAAGTTAACAATCAGATATAGGACACCGTCGGTAAAATTTCAGAAATATATTTTTTGTAGCATCACTTAAGAGACATTTATCTGGTGCAGAAACATTGGTACCGTTAATGTTATTCTGAATTACTCAAACCTGTTGAGGACAGTAATCTGATTTCTGGAACTCAAAATGATGATATGGTCAGCAGCATATAGTTTGGTAGAAACGGTATTTGACTATACTGCATTGACTTCATCATACAGAATGTTTAGGAATCTTTTTGCGACAAAATCGTGAGAGTCTAAAATACTTCTCATTTTTGTCATAATGCAAATTAAATTCCCCGTAAATCAATTCAGAAATTATTGAGGAAGTAAGGTTTCAACTCCCTCAGATAAACTTGACCCTAGATGACTTTTTAGATCAATTTTTAATATAAAGCGCCTAACGCTATCCGTATTGATAT